ATATATATATATATTATATATATTATATATAATATATATTATATATATATATATATATATATATATATATATATATATATATATATATATATATATCAACTTAAGTTTTATTTTAAACATTTCAATTGTATCATACATATCAACACCTTATAGTCTTACATATAAAAATGCATCATTAAAAAAAAAAGGAAAGGTAACTCTTTTATTCAATTTACCCAAAAACATTTTATTCAATATAAAATACACCAACACCTTATAGTCTTCCATATAAAAAATGCATCATTAAAAAAAACAAAGGTAACTCTTTTATTCTATTTACCCAAAAACATTTTATGCAATATAAAATACACTACATAAATTGAGAAACAATGAATTCTATTTATAAAATACCACATGATTTGAGATTAAAAAATAATTATTAAATATAAATTGCAATCTTTTTGTTTTTACTCATTAGCTAATTATAGGTTAAATATAGTCATGTTCTCATTTAATTGTTTTTTAAACTTAAAAGTATATATGTAACATCTAAATTAGGTTAAAGTAAGTTCTTAGTCCGGATGTATACAATGCATGGGTAGTTTAGTGTAAAGAATAATATCAAATGGTCTTGAAATTAAATTTTAGTACCACTTAAGTTGTTGTTGGTTGACAGTTTTGAAATAATTTATCTCGAGATTAATAATAGTATCGGGATAAATTATTCTTTCTCTTAGGTAGTATAGTAATTATGGAAATACTTGTCTCGAGATAAAATAAATAAATGACAAAAATATCTCTTTAAAACCTTTTTATACATCACTTTTTATATTCATAAAGGACGTTTTCGTAAACAAATAAATTGTATTTAAAATTTCTTATTTTGAGTAAGACAAAGCAAACATTCAATTAAAAATAATCTTATCATAATTTTCCAATCAAAACCAATCCTACATAAATGACTAATCCGATCCAATTCAAATTACAAAACTTGTATAATTTAATTAATTATAGATATGGGACTATTTCTTCACATAGGACCTCCCCCCACCCCCACACACTTGGGACCATTTAACTTACGAAAATGAGGCTATTTTTTTTTCCTACTTAAGGACCATTTAGTTAACTTGTAGAAACGAGGCTATTTCTTTATTATTTAGGACTATATAATTGGTTTAAATTGAAACATTTTTTAGTGAAAATATGTATGAATGATTTTTGGATATTAGTGCAAACATTATTTATTACTAATAAAACTCTGAAGAAACTTTCTAATACATTTACTCATTATTATTGCATATATATTCAATCTTATTGTTGATATTACTCATATACAATCTAAAGACACAAATAAAAAAACATAATGAATATCATAGTAACAATTGATAAAATAAAATTTAAATTATATTAAATATATAAATATTACATATTAATTATTTCGCAGACCTTGTAATTATCAAAACATTATGATGTTTTAATAATTATACAATATTCATAATAATAATAATAATAACAATTGGAGAACATTATACTTCTTAATTATATAAGTTTCAATTAGAATATAACTTTCAAAACATGCTCTTATAAGTTATCGGGAGAAGTTAATTATCCGAAACTTTTTGATATATATTAATTATGTTATTTTAATTTTGATAAATATAATAATATCAAATTAAAATATTTTATTAGAAGTTAAAATGTTAAATTGAAACATATCTTTTTTTTAGTGTATGAATGAAATACTCTGATAAATTAAGGGACTAAGTTATATTTTATTTTATACGAGTGTTTAACATGAGTAATTTACTTTATATACTTGAAATGTGTACAAACTACTTGGGGAAAATTTGCAAAGAAAGGAAAACAGCCCGAAAAAGTATTTTATACTAATTGAATTTCGAGGAGAATATTCGTAATCTTTGGTGACATTGAAAACGCGTACACACTCAGCTGGGAGATTACTGTAGGGAAATTGAGTTTTTTCATCGACTGTTCAGCGAAGCAAAAGTCTCAGAAGCCATTGATGGAGGCCAATGAACCTTCATTATCGACTTCTCCATCAAGCTTCAATTCCAGCCAGCAACGTCATTTTTACCTCGCCGTCGATAGACTTCATTTCAAAATGGTAACCCTTCCTATTCTCCAATCCCGTCAACCATTAGCTTTTATTTGTTATTAAAACTGAAATGAAAACAGGAGACTTTGGTGGATCTATTGGGCATGGCTGGCCGGCTTTGGTCCATACCTATTGTAGTTAGCTGCAGCACACGTGACGAGCTCGACGCTGTCTTCTCCGCTCTTTCTAATATCTCACATATTACAATCGCCGCTCTGGTTCTCTCTCAACCCGTTTTCCTCTCTGTAGCAAATTGGCTTAAAATTAATTTGTTAAATCAATATTGATAATCTGTTATGGGACTTAGATAATTACAGAGGATTCATATAACGGATACAGATAGGGTTTAACTTTGAAGTTGAGTCATAGCTGGCTGATTGATTGAATGAAGAACATGATATTTAAATGAAATTAGTCTTAACAAAGGGGAATTGATATGGAGAGTCTCAACTAGGTTGAGATTGAAGGTTAGTTGATTGATTGAACATGTATGTGTGTAAATTGCAGTACAGTGATCTTCCTGAAGCAGAACGTGCAAGAGTTTTAGCTAGTTTTCGTCAAGCTACAATGAGGTGGATCAAGCAGGATACAGGGGAAACTGAGAAAAAAGAGGAGAAGTGTCATTTGATAGTTGTCACGGATGTTTGCCTTCCCCTCGTTAACTCTGGGGAGTTGCCTATTAATGCTCGTATCTTGATTAATTATGAGCTACCAACAAAGAAGGTACTCTTCTTGCAGGCTTTACATTTCATTGATCATTCTTTTCAGCATTTTAATAACTCTTGGTCATGGGACTTGAAGGTTTGTTAATTAGAGGTGTGACTTTTAATTATTGGATCATAACACTCGAGTGGACTTGTGTGAAACGACAATACTGTTCACTGCTTGAAATTTAGAAAAAGAGAGAGCTAACTTTTAAATAGTAGGTTCAAGTAAAGCATAAATTTCTAAGATCTGCTTATTCCTTTCTGGCACCGTTTGACCGGTGTAAACTGAGCCTGCTTATTTCCAGCTTTTGATGTCCATTATTTCCCTCCTTTGGGTTTTGGTGTGAAGCATTCTCCCATAACATGCTGATTATTTATCTTCGTTAGAAAGTGAAATTTAAAATTATGCTAGACGTAAATACATAGACAGTACATTTTAAATTCATATTTTTTGAGAGTTGGTATGTACCTCGAGGTTTTAAATGATGATAATACTAGATAAACAAAACAGTTAGAATAACTATCAGATTGGAGCCATGGAGCTTATAGATTAGGTCGCGAGGATTCCAAATTTAAAACGAAAAGCTTGAACTCTCTGCCAATGCTCTCATGAGTTTAAAGTAGTATTGCAAGTACTTTAGAGACTGAGAATATTAGGATAAGTATAAATAGAATATAATTAATTTATAAGTAGTAAGTTTAGCTTTCTTATGAGGAATGAAGTCGAAGTGAGATTAAGTAAGAATTTAGTATCAATATGCTGATAATTCTAATGTCTAGGCACAGTCTTTTAAGAGAATGACACCAAATATTGTGTAATATTACACCATATCAAATATGCGGTAATATGGGTATTTGGAAGAAAAAAAATGCATGATTTTGGAGAGCAAGTTTGAATCTGTAACTCTAATTAAAGTATGTATGCATCTTCTTACTGTTTTTTAGTGTAATATGCTATTACGAATGATATAGAAGCCATGATAAACTTCTTGAGTTCAATGCACATTCACCTTTTGTTTGGATCATTGTTATCCATTGTTTCATAATGTATTGTATTGTATTGTACTCTATTGTACTGTATTGTATGGTAGATACAATGTTTGGCTAGACTGTATTGTTTGTTGTTGTTTGATAACATTTAATTATTTGGTTTGATCGTATAGTACTGTATTGTAATTTATAAATTACTAAAATATCCTAATTATTCTAGGGTAGGAGGTTTGACTAGATTCAAATAATTAAGATAAAGGGTAAAATAGTATTTTGAAATATTATGTAAATATATAATTGAAAAAACAAATTAAGTAACAATGGGAACACACCAAATTGGTTGTTTCATAAAATAGGAGTTTCCATTGTTACGTAACAACGAAATTTAACAATACAATATAATACATGTTAAGTAACAATCAAAACAAACATTGTAGGTATAGTAACAATACAATACAATACAATACAATGATCCAAACATAGAGTCAACCGTGATGTTGATCTGTAAAAGGCATCTACTGGTTGCTGACTTTTGTATACAAATATCTTTTAGCAATAAAAAAACATACGCCTAATTTATAATTTTACCTTAGCTTTTGTTTTGATTTCAGAAATCATTGTAGTTGTCTCAAACTTCTCTATCTATTTTTGCTCAAAGTACCAAGAATTGATTGACTAGAACCCGTATGGATCCCACACCACGTCGTGTCGCATCAGTGCGGCACATACAGTGAAGAGTCCGAGCAACTTAGTTCACTGTAATGTGAGCATGATTCTTTGCCATCCACCAAACCCGTTTACATCAAAAGACTGCAAACCACCATGTTCCAGGATTACTTGATGTGTGTATTTTATAATTTCGTACCGGAGGGGTTATTTCTTGGTTTCGTCCAGTCATTAATAACTTGATTATTTTTAGATAATAGTAGATAGGAAAAACGCTTGTAATACAAACGGGTTCATAGGACATGAGGAATTGTAAGGATTTAGCATATGCTAATTAGGCAGAGAAGTAATAATGATGAACAACAAGAACCAAAGGTGAACAAGAGCAGCTAGTGAGACTTTTAAGTCTTAAACATGAAAGAAAACCATTAATTGCTCCGGAGTATCCTGACATGCAAGTACTTACTTGAGGTTTGCTGTGATTGCAAAAACCTAATGTCAATCGAAGAGAAATTGTCATAAAGGTCTTGTCCGATCCTAAGTTTTCTTGGATACCATGATGGCTGAAATCTTTCATCAATTTGAGATATTTGGTGAAGAATATAAACACCCCCCCCTGTAGTCTGTATATTCGTGAATGCAGAAGATGAACATCTGGAAGAGTTGCCAAAGCTGTGAATGAATTAAGTATATATTAGCACCGATTTCAGCTGAAAATATATCATCTAGATGCTATGCACGAACAACTAATAAGGTGCACAACACCTGTAAGCTGTTGATAAATAATGAATTGGTCCTTGTCAACTTAATGAAGAACTGGACCCATAAGCTTGGGTTAGCAGCCCAGATGCTGCCTCCATTATATGGCTCCACTTTACACTTGTTCATAATCAGCTCAGATAAAATCGATCACTGTAGCTGAAAACCAATATATGTGTGGAACACTTAACTTGATATACTCGTTTATGGGGATTGAATTTGTTGAGGTATTTCGGATTTGCAATTCTCTTTTTTCATGAGTATAATATGTATCATGGGCTAATAAGAAACTTCTGTTTCTTAATTCTTTAAATCTTATTAGTGTCTCATTTCTGTTCTTTAGGAACCAAATGTGATACTCGAAATTGTTGGTGGAAGTGGCCTAAAAAAACATGTATAGTGAGAGAAATAGTCTTCTTCACTAGACAGTTGCATTTAATTCTTTGTATTTGTGACCTGTACCCCAGGACTTGCAAATGCACTTACCTTGTTGTTATGCTCTTATGTAGGAAACATATATGAGGCGCATGGCTACTTGCTTGGCAGCAGGTTCTCTTTCCATACTATAGAACTGAATTTGACAAAAGAGCATATTAGACTTGAGAGAAGGAATCAGAGGATGAAAGTAAAGAAAAACAAGACAGAACATAATTGTTTTTCAGATCTCCTTTATAATACTTCTTCTTCAATGGAATCAATTAAGAAGGATGTCATCCAATAGTCCGTTTCTTCAGACTCCCTTCCCCCACCTTATTTTTATGTAGTTTATTGTATAGTGTCATGTTAGCTTTATTATTCTTGAACACACATAAGTTTCTGCATCATATGCAGATGGAATCGTGATCAACATGGTTGTCGGAGGCGAAGTTGTTACTCTCAAAAGCATTGAAGAAAGTAGTGGCCTTCTCATAGCAGAAATGCCCATTAATGTAAGTTCTTAATTTGGTTCTTGCTGTTTATTATTGCATGGAATCATCAGGTGAAGCCAGGAATGGGATTATGAGTTTATTTGAACCCGTTGTTGTAGTATTGCCATTTGCGGATGCATACGTGCACAATTTTCTCGTATTTCCATTCTTTTGAAGTTCACTGATAATCTCATTAATGTTTGTTTGTCAACTTGTGTGCATGCTTCTGAGCAGATTTTTGAGATACTGTGAAGAGATGAGGCCCTGCGGATGTCATCTGAACCCATGAGATTTCAAGTAATTAGGTATATGATTAAAAAAATTCCCCACTTCTATGTACTACATCAGACAGTCATTTGGCTTACATGAGTAGAGTTCTGTTGTTGAATTGGGATCCTATTCCATGCTTTGTCAATTATGAGATGACGGTTGATTGCCTGAGCCTTTTTCTGGGGTTTTGGGAAGGGGGTGAATTTGATTTTCATCTTCATCAATTCTAACTTAATATAGCTCCTTGCCCATGTCATTAGGAGCAGGGCTATACAGATTTAGTAGCTGTGTGTTTTAATCTGAAGGTACTATACACGAAATTTGAATTAGGGAAGATTCAAATTGTCTGTAAGTTTACATTAGAGCAATTGAGATGTTCAAGAGGTAAGATCTTTATTGGGCCTTGTTAATGTTGTTCATTTATGCATGAAGTCCAGTTTTGATTAGTTAACTGGTAGCTAGAACTAGAATTTAGAAAGTTGCATTCATGAGTTCAAGCCTAGTATGGGGCTATGCCTTAAAAGGGCCCCGTTTCCCTTGGGATTCGTGATGCTTTGCTGCCAACCAATGTTTCTCGTTCTTGGGTTTGTTTCATTCTCATGACTTCACTTTCAACTGTGACTTGAATTTCCACTATCTTTCACAAATGAGGCCACAGAACTTGGTTATATTAGCTGTAACAACTGGCACACTATCACAGTTTTCCGTCATGATATTGCATGAGAAAGGGGAGGGACAACTTATATTCTTTGCTACCAACTGATATGGTCAATTGGCCATACATTTGGAATTCCAAGATTTCGACTTGAGGACTTCTAGTATTGTTGTTGAACTGTAATGAATTGGTCATGTAATAGGCATAGAGATTTGTAAATGGTTAAGTGTTTTTGATATTGTAATTCCAATTTTATGAGAGGAGAGACGTTGATAGAAGGAAAAGAGAATAATAGTACAAAGAGAAAAGAGTACAACTTATTCAATCTATTTACTAAGTAGTATGTATTCCCTACTATTATCTTAGTCAATTTGCTGCGTGTCTTTTCCTTATTTTACATTATCTTTCTTTCATCCCCATTCAGAAAGTGATTTGTTGGGACCAGGAGATTGTCTGAAGCCAAATAATTTCATTGCGATTTTTCTAAGAAAATGTTGGAATTGACCTTCTCAGGCCCCCTAGATAAATGAATTAGTTGCAAGATGTGGAGCACATTTTTTTAAGGTCTAGTGGTTAGTCCCCACACTGTTAAATAGGTTACTTTTGTGTCGTGCTTTGAAGATAATTAACCCATTAAAATCTTGACTCCAAGAGCTTTACTCTGTCACATTTGAAGCTTCCTGTCGATTTTCTTTTGGATTTTGACCTACATTTTTTAACTATGCTAACTATATTTAGCTGTGCTTTACTCTTGATCCCTCAAAGTCTTCTATCTGTGTACATTATTTAACTTTTCTCCCCATTCGAAGAGATTGTAGTATGGGGATGTAGGAACAAAACTATAAATGCAGAGTTGGAAGAAATTACTAAGAAGAAAGAAGCGAAACAATGCTATTGAAAAACAAGACTATTTTTGTGGGAAGGTAAGATGTGTTTGTCACCAGGTTGTTTTCGTTTCCCTAGTCGATGTCTAATTTCATATACAGTTAGATCGGCTGAATTGTTCCCGAGTAGAAATTTATGCCCAATTAGTTGCGACATTCTTGATAAATCTCGCAAAATGATTGATTGCAACATGCCAGTACGTTTTCCGAAAACAGTTGAACTTTCAATCCATAACTTGATCTTAATCTCCTAAACCAAATATGGGATTAAAAAAGCTAAAGGTTGCAAGGTGTCTTCACTTGATTGTTCCAAGAATTAAACCTTACCTAGTCTTGAGGGAAAACCAAACATAAATGGCTTCCACAGTAAGAATTTGGATCTTGTCTAATTAAATTTGGATCTTGTCTAATTATGTAGTCTTCTCACCCAATGCTGATTGATTAGTTCCAGTTGTGATTTTACTCTACAATCTACACTTTTTACCATTTATAAAAAAGACGAAAAGGTTCATTCTTTGATGGGATTGGCAAAAAGAAGAGGAATAATCCCCTCAATCCCAATACTTCACATCGTACAATTACAATTCCTTCCAAAAAGTAACTTGTGTAGCCGAAATGTTGCCTTCCAATAGTACTAGCGGTCATTTCACGGATGCTCATTCAATTTTTACTTTATTGCATCAGAGTCTAGTAAACTATTTTTGTGATAGAAAAGTTACTCAACTTTAGCCATAAGTATCAGGTAGAATTGCTCAATAATTTTTGACTGAAAAGTTACCTAAATATTTTGACTCTTAAGATAAGTGTACCACTGCAAATGCCTTGGGCAAAATACTCGGGGAGATGTATCTTGTAAACCTTCTCTCTCCGACTCCGAGGAGGTTATGTTTTATTGGTATCTGGACTTGTATCCCATTGTTGTGGAAGAGTTACTATCATGTAATTGACCCATGCCTCCAGTAAAATGTCTTAGTAAGTGGTTCAAATTTTAAGTGCACCATCAATAAATGATGGGAGAAAATCCATGCAGTTGGGGAAATGACTAATGCAAGTAGAATAAGAATCATCAATTTCATGCAATAATCAGGAGGGTTGGGTCCCCACATTTGAAGGTGACATGCAAAGCAATTGTTTGATGAAAATTTCGACTAAGTGTCACGTGAATTCTGATTGCCTGTTCCGGGTAATTTAGTCTAAGTGTTTGTTTTGCGTCTCTTTCTTTCATCAACTGTGGGAGATATTGATAGAGATAGATCCTGTCCTATGGAAGGGAAGAAAGGGAACACAATGAAGATGGACAATACATGGTCCCTAAAGTTTTATGACAAAAAGGGGAAATATCATCTACACCTTTGACATGGATTACTTCTCCTGATACAACAATTTAGCTTTTACTAAGGTGGCCTACCTATGCATACTGCTTTTGAGATTTAGAGAGACTCATCATCATCCATGTTTCCTACGCTTCCTTTATATTTCAAGCAAAGAGAAGTATATTGATACCAACACATGGCCATGACAATATCTACATAATTCATGTTGCAAGTCGTATTCAAAATCAAAAATTTGTGAATTCAACATTTAATATTTTATAACATTATAAATCCCCTTTATGGTTCTGATTTATATTTGTTCTGATATTAGTGGATTTTATACATAAATTATACTTTGCATTTGAATTTATGTGGTTCATATGAACCTGGTGTTGCAACACAGCATTTAAATTTCACTAGTCTTTGGTGCAAGAGACAGATAAATATACCTCCCTGTGATTTTCAGGATGATAAGCTTATTTTATATATTCTTATCGTCATATTTCAATTTCAACAAATAATGACATTATTTTCTTAATTCATTTATTTCTTAACAAATTAGTGTTCACAATCTATAAGAATCATTTTAGCTATATAAGAAATTCTTGATTAAGAATAAAATAATTGCTGCTTGCATATGTGTGTCATAATATAACAAGGAGTTTGAATCCATTCTGCCTTTCCGGAGCTATGTAGGCTATGTTAGTGAGGCTCAGGCATCGGTCTTGGTGATGTGGATTTCTGGACCCTTCTGAGCTGAACGTCACTCCTAGGCTCGGTCTTTGGATGGTTCGTTCAACCCTCCCTGGTCCTGACTATCCTTTCGTAAACGGAAACTTATATTATGTGTCACCATATCATTTGTTCATGCATCTGGATAATGCCTATTTTACCCTCTATAATAATGCTTAGAAGCTAAGCATCGAGTGTATTTAAGTTTTATTAATACGGACAATAGGGTAATACCAAATTCTGTTAAACTCCAGTCCAAATTAAGGCGCACGGATAACGTAGAGTTTGACCTGCTTTTGCCGTTTGAATGGTTCATGTATACATACTTATCATCCATGGATCTTCTTAGCAACGATGAGTGATGTGTTTCACGTGCAATGCATTGAGAGTATTCATATACGTCGATGGCTCTTTCCTTTACTCAAATCCTCACCCATAGATGTTGTGAATCCCTAGATGAGAGAGGGCCTAAATTATTGCATATGATCTTTGAAATTTGAGTTTATGGTAACCCAAGAATAACATTTATTGCCGCTCCATATATATATATATATATAGTGTGTGTGTGTGAGATGTGAGAGGTCATTTGCTTCTTGGACAAAGTTATAGATAGTCCTTGAGATTTATAATTTTGAGTTAATTAATGGGATATTCAAGATTAAGTTTGAGATTAAATAATTAAAATAAAAATTAGTCTCAATTTATTACCACTTGATATTTATATAGGTAAATAAATGCTTTAACATAGCTTTTCTCTTCTATTTTAAAGTAAATTAATAAAGAAAATATTTGCAATTTATTAGAGGTTTCATCTTCTTTTTTTGGCAGTTAGTCATTCTTTTTTTAGATTCTTTAATGATGTATTTTTAATTTATTTTTTATTGAATGATGTATTCTAACTAGAAATTCCATGTTCATTTTTTTCTCCAATTACTATTAAGTTCACTATACTATTTATAGTAGTAAAGATTTTTACTGTCATATTTCTTTCAGTACCTTTTTTGGTAAAATGATATATTTATGTCAGTTTGCGCAAGATTTGATTGTTTGATTGATTTCTTGTTACCTTTATAACACAAAGACTAAGTATGAAGAATTAGATTAGAGTATGAAAAGTGAAATAAAAAATGGAGAAGTGAAAGAAAGAAAGGAAATGTAAAGGCAAAGAATCTAATGACGAAGAGATGAGATGACAGCTTACTGAAATTTGGCATTTGCATGGATTCCAACAAAGATTTGGATTGAAGTAGAGAAAGGACAAAGGTTTTGTCCATGTACACTTTCTACCTTATCTTTCCTCTGTCTCACTCTCTAATCTCTCCATTTTTAAACCGCCGCAGCTAACTGTTCACCCACTGCTACATATCAACACCATGTACATTTTCCTTATTAAATAGATGTTGAAACTACTCACTAGTACTTCAATTCTCTCTTCTATATACTCTCTCTCGCGGAAAACAATAGAATGTTTATGATCCCTTTCTATATTAACTAATCGTCCTTCAACGTTTTGTTATTAGCTTCTGCACGATACCTTCAACGCTCGTGATGGCTCTACCGGCTTCAACGCCTCTGCTGATGGATCCCAGTATTCCGATGTTGAAACCAATTCGTGCAGGTACAAGTACAACGAATCCGGATGAACAAGATCAAACTCATCAACGACTAACCGGTTCCGAGGTTAGGTTTTTTTAAAGAAAGAAATTCCTTTTTTTGAAGAAAAAATATTTAGAAATTGAATCGTGAGTTTAATTGGAATGTATGTTTCTAGGTTATGGAGGAGGTGAAGTTGCTATATTCAATAGCTTTTCCCATCATTGCTGCTGGATTGCTTGTGTATGGAAAATCAATGATATCAATGTTGTTTATGGGAAGATTAGGTAAAGAAGCACTTGCTGGTGGATCATTATCTATTGGCATAGCTAATATCACTGGCTTCTCTGTTCTGTCTGGCCTAGCTATGGGTATGGAGGCTATATCTTCTCAAGCTTGTGGTGCTAAACAATGGTCTCTTATGGGTCAAACGCTACAACGCACAATCTTGATTCTGTTATTTTCATCCATCCCCATTTCTCTCTTGTGGATAAAGATTGAACCTTTACTCCTTTTCTGTGGCCAAGATCCAACCATTTCATCAATTGCTTCTACTTATCTGTCCTTTTGTCTCCCTGATCTTTTCTTTCAATCCATTATCAATCCTCTCAAAATCTACTTGAGAACTCAGAACGTCACTTTCCCTGTTACTTTTAGTGCTGCCTTTTCACTTGCCTTGCATGCACCTATCAACTATTTCCTTATCTATCACCTTGGCCTTGGTATTAAAGGTGTTGCTATGGCTGTGGTGATAGCTGATTTCAATCTCCTTGGTGTTCTTTTTCTTTATGTTAGTTATTCTGGTGTTCATAGAAAATCTTGGCAAGGTTGGTCAACTAAATGCTTTGAAGGGTGGAAACCAATTTTGATTCTTGCCATCCCTAGCTGTATTTCTGTATGCTTGGAGTGGTGGTGGTATGAGTTGATGATTTTGTTATCAGGGGTTCTTTTTAATGCTGCAGAGGCTGTGTCTACTATGGGAATTCTCTTGCAGGCAACTTCACTTGCTTATATATTTCCATCAGCATTAAGTTTAGCTGTTTCAACAAGAGTTGGAAATGAGTTGGGAGCTAATAGGCCTAATAAAGCCAAGACTTCATGTTATGTAGCAATTATGTGTGCTACAGTTACAAGCTTATTACTAATGATATCTATGACATCATTAAGAAATGCTTGGGGCAATGCTTTTACAGACGACGAGTCGATTTGTTGGCTGACAGCAGCAGCAATGCCGGTGGTGGGGTTGTGTGAATTGGGCAACTGCCCACAGACCACCGGTTGTGGTGCTTTGAGGGGCAGTGCAAGGCCAGCTTTGGCTGTTCATATAAACTTTGGATCTTTCTATGGTGTTGGGTTGCCTCTAGCTATTGTATTGGGCTTTGTTATGAAGATGGGGGTGTTGGGCCTTTGCTTTGGCCTCTTGGCTGCTCAAGGTGTTTGTGCATGTCTCATGGTTTGTGTGTTGAGTAGAACTGATTGGATGATACAAGCCCAGAGAGCCAAAGAGTTGATTGGTGTTGATGTGGAGAATCAAACTATATCAATTAAGTCATTACTGTGCTAGAAAGTTAATTAGTCTATCTTTTTCCTTCTTGGTAATGCTGATAAGTATAAAAACAGTACAGTACTGCTATGTATCTTTCCTTTGTTCTAGTTCTTAAGTTTGTTTGTTCTCTGTATCTCTTTTCTGTTTTTGTGGTCCTAGAAGCTAATAATTAATGTGAATATATTATATATATATGTGTGTGTGTGTTGCTCATGTATTCATGTTTGATGATTTCATTGATCTTGCATAAATTTAAATCAAAGTTAACATGAACATGCAGGGAGTCGGAGATAGCATTGTCAAAGTTAAATCATCTTATTACAAGAAAAAAATGAGTTGGCATTAGAAATTAATTTAGCTGCAGGAAACTAATCCAATTTAGTAACCACCACAAAAAGCATACATTTCACCTGGTCATGCCTGCATGATAAGGGGGCATGGTAACTCCTCGGCTTTGTCTATCCATATTAGCTTGCCACCCTACAACACAATGTCCATAAATCTTAGTGATCTGATTGCGTAAATACTTTTATCGGTGTATAAACTTATAAATATTACCTATTCCCATATCAAAGCCACGGTTCTTAAGCTCTCTGTATTCTTGGCAAAGAGCACAAGGTTCACAGAATACATGTACAAGACAATCAACACAAGGTGCCTCTTCCAGATCATATTGCCCCCTCATTTTAGACCTGTAGAAGCAGGAATATAGGCTAGGCAATCCTGTCAATCCCAGCAAACAATATAATGCACCTCTACTCCCACATGCTAACATCAAGAAAACAACACAAACATCATATTCTTGGTAACCAAATATCAAATAAATTGAATTTATCCCCCCCCCCAAAAAAAAAGTGTATATACTTACAAGTTGTTCCTTTGTTTAGTATTTCAGAAATCTGTCCAAAGGTGATACAAGGGCAAACACTAGTAACTAAACAGTTAGCAGGGTCATCAAAACAATGACAAAGACCAGTCGACCACCGCGCCGTGGTGGTGCCGGGGGCAGATACATAGTGAGGAGGAACATAAGGTTGTTTCATTGGACCTGGATTATATCCTACCGTTTGATACATTATACTTAAGAGTAAAGTTAATTTGAAGAAAATGAATGAATCGTTTCTCTTGGTAAATGGTACAATGTCCTAATTTAACGGGTGAAAAACATCAATTTCAAGAAATGTTGTAGTGTAAAAAACGTACCTAAATCATCATTTCCAAGAAATCTGGTAATAGTTGAAATTTCACGCCTCTTTCGATTTACTTTAGCTTATTTTTGTTGTTTTAGCTTTAAAACAAGTGTTTATAACATTTTTTAACTTTATTCAACACTTCAAAACTGCTCAAAAGCAATTTTAACTTAAAAACACCTAAAATAAGTTAATCCAAACGATACTAACTTGTACTACGACGAAATTTTGTCCAAATCTAGATAAAGAGATCACTAGTATAGTTTCCAACAATGTCAGAATTTTACCGCTATAACAATTTTAATCAAACTTATCTTCACGAGATCAGTCAAATATATATTCATACGTCTTTTTAATTTTATTCGTCAATCACTAAATAAAAAATTTCTTAGAAAAAAAAAAGGTTTAATTTACTGTCCTATTCAAGAGGTAAATGAGTATTGTTTTTTAAAGCGCAAAAGGTTTAAATGGATTTTAATTAAATATAAAAGAAAATGGATCAAATTAGTCTGAATTAATGTTTCAACTTTTCTGGATAATAATGCCAAGAAAAGAGAGTGAGGGTCAGTACACTTTATATGTTGTGACAACTCATAAATAAAAATTAAGCTTACTAATTATAATCGTACAATATTCTGGTGTTGTTATCAAAGTTCGTTTTCAAATCAAATGAAACATAAATTAAATTTATAAACATTCGTGCGAGTTAGAAATTATAATTGAGCATCTCAATGCGCAATCCAAGCTCAATTATTCACTAAAATATTTGAGCACATTATTAATCTTTCCGTTTCAGATTAAATAATATTTTTTGAATTTACATAAGAAAATCACTCATTTCAAAATAAAAATAAAAATATACTCTTATTCAAGAAAATTATTTATTTTTCTATTTCAAAATAAGTGTTGTTTTTAGTTTGTGCACACATCTTAACAAATCAAACTTATACTCATTTCATTTTTAGCCATTTATTTTGAAATAAAATGAAAAAAAAACACAACTTTATTTTAGAAAACGAAGCAAGTAATTTTAGAAAATATATAATTACCCCAATAATCGTAAGATGTGTTTTTTAAAAGGAAAAATACATTAAATTTCTCTCTAATTTGTTCACAAAACTCACTTTAGCACTGTAATTTTACAGGTGTTTTAAACACCCCTTAAAGAACTTTTAGGTAAATTAAATAACACCTTATACATACTGTATCAGTTACATAGTTGCGAGGTGACGTTGCACTCACTCCACATCAACACCACCCTAGTAACACGTTGACTACACGTCATACCGTTAATAAAATTAGTTTTTATTTCTTGTTTTCTTTTTTCATGTCATTTTTTGTTTTTAATTTTCATTTTTTTCTTTTTGCAAATATATTTTGTTTTCTTTTCCACCGTGTACTCTTCGTTCCATCTTCTCCCTTACAAGCCTAGGATTGAAAACTAATTTTTCAACACACAATATATTTCTAATGATTTGATAAATATTGTCTGTCAACAGAGAAATAGAGCGATACATATATTAACATCATTGAAGTCGGAGTTGTCAACGACAACTGTCGGCACTGCTTCAATGGCATTGTCGGTCATCTTTATTATATTAGGCTCAAATTGGAACAATTTCAGACTGTTTATCATGGTCGACGAAAAAATATGAACACATTAAAAGAAAAAAAAGAAAAATGGAAGAGACACAAGAAAACGAGTATGGCCATTTTGTCCAGACCACCGGCGATGTGAATTTGTTTTTATTAGATCGAATAATTCATGGCACCTGGTTTTTTATGGAGCAGTGATGAAGCGAAAATAAAGGGTGGCGGTGATGTCCTTTACGATCGAGTAACATTGAATTTGTTGGTCTATTTTGTCATCAAGAACTTTTTTCGTCGAGGGAATATAGACAGAAAACAATTTGATAGAGGGGATACGAACAAGGAGCAGTTGAGTTGAAGAAGATAACGTGGGACCCACTTCTTTTTCTTTTTGATTTTTTCTTCTTTTAACGCATCGAAAACTTTTTAATTTGTCACGTCAGCTGTTAAGATGAAATTTAATTCACTTACAAGTAGTTTAAGGAGTTATTTAAATACACATAAAGTTATAGTGTTAAAATGAGTTTTAGTGACAAGTTTAATGGGGATTTTATGTATTTTCTTTTTTTATAAAGACATTTGAACTTGCATTTGTCCTATACTCCTATTACTCCCTGTTCTCATTTGGAAAAGGGTCAAATATACGCCTAAATTATCCGTTTAAAGTTTGACTCACTCATGCTCTTGCCGTCCAATTTTTTGCCCAAATATGCCCTTATGGGCATTAGTTGGTATACTGGACATATCCAACTCATTTTTCATTACTTTAAATGTCACATAGATTTGGCATGTCATTTTGACTTTATCACATGACAATTATATGAAAATGAAAAGAGATTCGGACCCATAAGCACCTAATCATACCCATAAATCAACCCCCCTTTTAAATAAACTACCCGACCCGTTTTAAACAATTTTGTTTAATTTTTATTTTTTTCAGTAAATACCAAAAATGAGTAATTGATTAATAAAAATAGGAAGCATATGAAAAAATATAAAATTAACGCAAAAAATTAACAAATAGATATAGTAATCTTAAATCCAACATTTTCAATAATTTTTTAAAAACTTTTATATTTTTCGGTAAATATAAAAAATGAGTAATTCATTAATAAAAAATATGTAAAGTATGAAAAAAATATAAAATTAACGCCAAAAGTTCATCAATAAATATAATAACCTTTAATTCTACAATTTTTTTCTTAATTTTTATTTTTATCGACAAATCCGAAATGAGTTATTATTAATAAAAAAATAAAAAAATAAAATTTACGCAAAAAATTCACAAATAAATCTAGTAACCTTAAATTCAATAATTTCAACAATTTTTTTTTATTTTTTTCAATAAATCTCAAAAATGAGTAATTAATTAATAAAAAATAGGAAAATATGAAAAAACTAAAACTAACGCCAGAAAAATCGCAAATAAATATAGTAACCTTAAATTTTAATGTTTCAACAA